AGAGGCCGGCAAGTCAGGCGGGGAACGTTGGAGTCCGCCGTCACTGGAGCAAGCAAGCCTCCCTGTTCGCTTCAGCGCATGGCTGCCGGCCCGCCATCTTGCTGACAGTTAATTTGCATAAGGATATGCTGATTAGCCAATGGGAAGGGTAGCGGTCGTACGCCAATTACCATGTTTCTCTTTTATTAGTGTAGATTATTCAGTAAGAAGGGCATTTTTGCCTTTCCTAGTCCATACTTCCACTTTCCTGCCAGAAATATGGCTCCCACTTTATCTGTAATTATGTACTTGGCCTCCTTTTCCTTTTGCTTTCTGTTAAAAATTGTGATGACATGAGCAATCCCATACTAGAAATTAGAATAGCTCCTTTCTCACCAGAGTGAATGAAAAACTGCAAATCCATATGCCCAAAACACTGAAGAGGTACAACCTAGTATTTATTTTTTAAGAAAATCTAAGATCATTTGTACATTGAGATGATACTTAGTATTTGTTTTCTCTCTGTATGTTAAATTTTAGTAAAATATATTAAAACAACAACAAAAAACAAAAAAAACAAACAAACAAAAAAAAGAAAATCTAAGATCAAATTAGATTTGATCTTGACTGCTATCCCTGGAATGCAAGGTGCCATTATGCTTCTTGACTGCTATCCCTGGAATGCAAGGTGCCATTACGTTCTTGCCCCAAAGAGTATAGAAAAACTGAAGAGTCCTGCTCTTCGCATTCTCTCAGTCTTCACTATGCTTCACTTAAAAAAGACCTTTGGTTGTGCTGGCACAAATAGGAACTTGGCATGAGGTTCCTTCTCCAATTTCAAACTTGGCTTAGAAATAGGTCAGTGAAAACTCTGATCATGGGTTCTTTCAAAAGTTTTTATTATGATCTCTCATTTTTATACCTGAGTAACAACTTTCCCCAAAGGGATGATGACAAACAATTTTTATTCTAAAAGGACGTATAGATAACATATTGATAGTATCTCATCAGTGGTATCATTGATGTCTTAAAATTCTTTGGTTAAGAAGTTCTTCTGCCCTGGCCAGGTAGCTCAGTTGGTTAGAGCATAGTCCCAATACACCAAGGTTGCAGGTTTGACTCCCAGTCAGGGTACATACAAGAATCAACCCATGAATGTATAAATAAGTGGAACAACAAATCAATGTTTTGATATCTATTTCTCTCTCTCTCTTTCTCTCAAAATCAATCAAGAAATAAAATTTTAAAAATAAAGTTCTTCCCTTTTTAAAAAAATCCTTGGTGCTGATAACCAGAGTAGTCCTTCCCTCTTACTTCTTATCATACTGACATGATCTGACTCTATACTCTGACCTCTCTCAAGAACAAGATATAGGGACTGTTCTTGATTCCCTTGGGCAAGTGTAACTAGGATACTTGACAGGCTCAGCTTAAATTTAGAGCTTTTTTCATCTTTTTTTTTTTCTTTTAAATTAAGACTATTAGAGCTAAATTATAAATGCAAGATTTGTGTTTGCCTTGGGGCTGACATGCCCCACAACCTGAGGATCACCTTAGCTAAGCCAAGGCTTTGTAATGGCCAGAGTACGGAGCAAAGGTGTTTCCAACTTCCCTCCCACAAAGGAAGGGTTCAGCCAGCCAGGAGACTAAAGTTCTTTCAAAGCCAGCTGGTGTGGCTCAGTTGTTGAACGTCAACCCATGAACCAGAAGGTTATGGTTCAGTTCCTGGTCAGGGCATATCCTAGGTTTTGGGCTTGATCCCCAGTAGGGGACATGCAGGAGGCAGCTGATCAATGATTATCTCTCATCATTGATGTTTTTATCTCTCTCTGAAATCAATAAAAAATGAAAACATTTTTTCAATAAAAATTTTTTAAATAACATATAAAAAAATTTTTTTAAAGCAAACAGTCATGTACCTTGCTGGCTCTTGGAACTAACTACCTAGAACCATAAGCCTTGTTTTCAATTCTTAAAGGACCTGTCTGGCTGGCTTCTCTCTATTTCCTGGGTGAGATGATGGGGACCAATGGGGGACTACAGAAGCCTCAGGCTCCACATGATCACCACAACATATGCTGTGTTCTGTGGTGCCCAAGGAACATGCTGGCCTCCACTCTACCTGTGTCATGTAGCCTTTCTTAATCTGGTACATTATCACCAGAGAAACCCCTACTCTGGGGTCATCCTATTCCTATTTTTCTCTTATTTGTGCTGGTGCTTCAGTTGGACATGCTTCCACACAGGCTTCAGCTCCAGAGGAAGAGATGGTGACTTGAATTCTTGTTCCAGAATTCCCAAAGAAATCATTATTTTCACTGTTAAATTTTAAGAAACCCCATGTTTTCTGGCATCACTGGGACTGTGGTATATCTTTGCAGCTGTGAAGTTAGACCATAACAAGAAATGAAGCAAACCGTCGAGTTTGCCTTCAATTACTCACTAAAAGAAATCTTTAATTACCTGCACCATGTCAACTTATGATAAGGCAGTGAGATTTAAAGCAAGACTATATAATAGAAAGTACTGTAATATATTTCTAAACTTGAATATTATAAAGACCTAGTGTACTAACCATCCAATTAAGCCTGCCAGTAACAGTTACCTAATATACAACTTGCTTTAAAGAAACTAGTGCCAATTTGGCCACCTTGAGACTTTTTCTCCCTTCCAAACAATATTACATTGGACAGGTTCTGAATCTGAAAAGTGCAGGCTTCACTCAAAGCTGTAACCTCTTTGCTGGTACATGTGGCTATACCCATGAGGTCTTTATGGCACCGTGTGTAACCTCCTACCTGAGGGTAGCTTGCTGTATGCAGCCGCTGAAGACATTGCCTGTCCTAGAGCTTGATTAGAGCCCAGAGGCTGCTGGAAACTGGCAGCTTTGCTGGTTGAAGTTGTCCGTTGCTTTGATTTGGGGTCTTTAACTGGTTTTGTCCAGACCAGTGCCTCCCCAACCTGGAGAGCAGCTCCCAACTTCTGAGCCATCTCCACCATCTTGTGCACACATATGAAGAAAAAAAGAATCAAGGTATGACCGGCAGAGACAAGCCTACCCACTTCCTAGGCGTTCCACCTGGTGGGTTATAGCTGAAATAGTGACTATTGGTACTAGCATTTGAGGGAGGAAATACTTATTACAAGGAAATATTTCTCAAACAGCAGAAATCACAGACTACCCTTAGTGAGGCAAGGGAGTTCATACAGGATCTCAAACCTAACAATTCAAGTTTGGTATGTTATTGAGCTAAAGTCCATCTTTCCTACAGGAGAAGTGGGAGGAAGCTACAATGAGATATGGGCCTCAACTCAGAGGAGTTGTATTATCAATAACAGGCTCAGTAAGCCTGAATTTCCTCTTACTATTTTCTTCTAGGCAAGTTTTCTTTTTCAGGCTGTCACTAATTGAATAATTCATGCTGCCAGGAACATCAAAGCCAAAATAGGCATGAGCTTATAATAGGTTATCTTTGGATTATTTGGGCTTGATCAAAAGTTTGCTGACAGCTTGCTTATGGCTCCTTAGGAGCTAATAAAAGACATACCTCGTGCCCTGGCCAGTGTGGCTCAGTTGGTTGAGTAGCGTCCCGTATACCAGAAGGTGGTGGGTTCAGATCCCCAGTCAGGGCATGTGCAGGAGGCAACCGATCAATGTCTCTCTCTCCTCTACGCACCACCCCCCTTCCCTTGCCTCTTTCTCTAAAAGAAAAATTAAAAAAACAAAAAACAAGACACCTGGCCAGCACAGCTCAGCAGTTGAACATTAACCTATGAACCATGAGGTTACAGGTTCCATTCCCGATTGGAGCTCATGCCCGGGTTGCAGGCTCGATCCCCATGTAGGGCAGCCAATCAATGATTCTCTCTCATCATTGATGTTTCTATCTCTTTCTACCTTTCTTCCTCATTTATATCTATAATAATAAAAGCATAATATGCTAATTAGACCGGACGGCCAAACAGCAGAACGACAGTCTGGATGACCTTCCAGACAAAGCTGTGGCTACAAGGGTCGAGCCCCTTGCACAAATTTTGTGCATTGGGTCTCTAGTATTAATATAAATATTAATATATTTAATAAAAATATTTAAGAAAAAGACATACCTCAGAGTCATATTCTAGAGAGCTACTGTCCTTGAGTAGGTTGACTTTCTTCTCCATCTCCTGATACTGGGCCAGGGCGTCCCTCTTCTCACCCTGGTTGTATAGCAGCACAGCATAGTTCAAGTTGACTAAAGGGTTATACCTATGGCAAACAGACAGGGATTCTATGAAGCTTAGGCTTCACAACCAATGGTCATTTAGAGATTCTCATTACACAAAAAACAAAACTGATTATAAGTAGAGATTTCTCCATTCTGCAGCAAGGTAAGAGAAACACATGTGCTATGTGTGGACTTGTGGGAAAGAATCAAGGAATAATTGCCCACCAGTAAAGCAGGTATCAGGACCAAGTCTGACATCTCAGCCCTCAGCAGGGACCACCAGGGCAGGTTGAAGAAATGATCCCTACCCTGCTGCCTAGCCAATGCCAATGGACTAAATATGGAGAGAGTCACATTTATCTTAGATTAAACTGAGCCCAGAGCTGCATCTGATATTCCATCTAGCCCATGGCTACCAGCAACCCAAGTCCACTGCCAGCTCTGACTTTCTCTGGCCTCTGAACTACTAAAGTTGGGGCTGGAAACACTTCCTTAGAAAGTGGCAGTGGCAGTGGCAGTTCCTGCTGAGCCACTGCAGGCTTTGTATCACATCCTTCCACACATGCCCTGTGCACAAAGGCCATGGAGAGCAAGCAATTGGGCTGACTCAGGCAAAGCCAGTGGTCTCATGCCACCTCATGGCTCTGGAGAGTCTAGCCTTCCCCAATACCATTCCCCACGGTGCAGCTTACTTATCCAGGCGGACTGCTTCGGCATAAGCTCTCTTGGCATTCTCTGTATCTTCCAGATTGGTCAAAGCCACTGAAACAAAGAAAGTGAGGACTGAGACTGAGGAGCCCAGCTTAGAAAGCAAAAGGAATGTTTCAAGACCACAGTTCATTCAGCCCCCACAACTTAACTGCTCCTTTGCCTCCTCAACTCCTAGCACCACCATCTACTCACTCAGCTTAGTTACCTGGTGTCATCTTCAACAGTCCCCTTTCCACAGTCAATCAGTTGCCAAGTTATCTGAACACCATTTTTTGTAGTTTCTTTTCTGACCCTGTCCAAGTTGTTTCAAGCTGTGGCAATGTCCCCATCTGCATCCATCCACTTGCTACAATGCTGCCAGGTTTCTCAACAACTTTCAAACAAATCTGAACATGTCACTATCCTGCTTAAGAATCCTCACTGGCCCTCCATCACCCATAATCCTGATCTTTAAAATTTGTTTAGCACCAGGACACTCTCACCTTTTAAACCAGTATTTCCTGAAAGCCTCACCTATAAGACAATAACAGCATTGCTCTGGAAGGCCTGCCCACTCCATCTCCCCCCAACCTGGGCTCACTTCTACCAGACACTTAAGAGATCTAGGAATACAGCTGGGAAAATGGCCTCGAGGATAAAGTCTAATGTCCTTGCATTATACTCGTGGCCCTCCATCATCTGACCCCAAGCTATCTTTCATGACTCATTTCCCATTACATTCTATAGCACTACTGCCCACTAACGGCAGGACACAGCGTGCAGTTTCATGGCTGCATGCCTTTGTTCACTGGCTCCTCAGTCATTCTGTGTGACTGAATTCCAGCTTAGCCTTCAGTACAGTGTGAAGGCCCTTTCTACTTTGTAATGTTAGAATTGCTGCTTGTGCCTTACAGTGTGGCAATTCGTTTGCATTCCTATCCCCATTAGAACTAGGCTAGCTTTGTATTCAGGCAACCCTCAAATAACCACCACTCGATTTGCTTTTGCAACCCTTTCTCTTATAAGAACCCCACAATAATGACTTAAACAACACCTGAAGACAAAAGTCAATGAGAACTTGCAAACTGCTTTCGGACAGAGAAATATTCCCTAGAAAGAATATTTAGTCAATCTTTTGTATTACAGTAACTAACAATAAAACCAATAATAGTTAATATTCATTGGTTACTTAATCACGTAATCCCCTAGTCTACCCTATAAGATATATCCCTTGTATGCTAAATGATATCTGGAACTTAGCTGGGCTCAATATATACATATAAATAAATAGTCAAGGCAAGGAAAAACATTTGGTAAAAGATAAACGAGGATGATCTTGATTTAACCTGTTGGTCTCTGAGTGAAACTGCCCCAAGTTAGAAACTGTTATGCCCAGATTTCAGGATCCCCAAGAGACCACACCAGGGAGCCAGCCGAGTCCGATGCAAAAGCAGAGAGTCTTTTATTCAAACCCGGGCTTGGCTCCCCTACCCTCCTTACTGACACAGCAGCAAGTGGCAGAGAGAG